AGAAATATTTTCTATTCAAAGTAGATGGTGGTTGATCTAGCTTTCTCCGAAATGGACCAACGTCATAAATTTCTCTTTAAATGAGGTTTTTCAAATGGAGCACATGATCATGTGTGCTCAATTTTCTTTTGCTTCTACTAAAGTAATTGTAGCATGTCTTCAAAAAACCTAGACTCTTTATAAAAAATAATTTATAAAATCTTTAAAAAAATAGTAACTTCTATCTTAGTTGTATGCACACATTATATGTGAAAGGTCAATATTATGCCCTAAACTTATACATCAAATTCTCCACCAAAAATCTTCAAGGTATACACATTTTTCTATCTCACATTTTTGAGAATATAATTAGAGCAATTAAAACACAAAGAAAGCTCTAAATGTATGCATGTACATCGCCTTCACAAATATCAATTTTTTCAAAGGTGTTTTTATGAGGATATCAATGCATGCTCTTAATCTTGTATATGAGTAGCTTTAATTCTCTATAATTCTTTTAAATACTAACAATAATTTATGTTTAAGTGTGTTTATAACCACAATGAGACTCTCTTATCAATATCAAATTAAGAGAATTTTACAATGAAGTCTTAATGATCAATGATTTCTATAATCAATATCTCTTGATGAATCTATTAAGTTTTGATAGTTGAGTCAATTCTAAAGAGATTTGTTACTTTTATTGAATTGGACTCTATTTTTGAAGTAGTTGGTTATACATATCGGTTGATCCTACCTCACAAGTAGTAGAAGGTATATGAATAGCTTTTGGAGCTTACAACAATGACTAAAGGTTTAGAAAATCCGATACGAAGCCATCCAAAAGGTTGTTTGTGCCACACAACAAATAAATCAAAGCCACATTCTACACAATATTTTTCTTTGCAATTTAAAGAAGTCAAAGCCAAAAGTGCAAATGTGTGTCATTAAAAAAATTCCAAAAGCATCCAACATAATATATGCACTTGTCATTCTTGTTATGCTTATATTTCACAATCTTTTATTATTGCACAACCAATTGACTTGGATTTATAGTAGAGGTATTACAACCTTATTTAAGTAAAAATAAAAAAAATATAATAATCTATTGGCTGAGTAATCTCAATATGAGTTGAAATTGGAGTGCTATTCTAACAATCTAATATAATTTGATTTGTGCTCATGTCCATATAGGAGCATATGTGCTTATGTAAGCTATGATGATTTATGCTTATGTTTATATAAACTAATCTTATTGTTTTTATATAAGCTACCTTAATTTCCTCATTTTGACATTATATTGTTGATATTCTTAAACATTGTTGTTCATTGCAGCAAACATTAAGGTATTTAAGTATCTAAATAATTACAAGTTTTGAAATAGAGTTTTGTGTGCACTTCTTATGGAATTATTGTTCTTGCAGATACTTCATTGAAAGTATGTGAAGTTAAATATACTATAAAACTTGTATAATGCTACTACAAGAAAAGAAATTTTCTTCTCTATTTTAATGTTGTATGTTACAAAATGTGAATAAAAAATAAGCTTTAAATATAATCTCTACAAGAAAGATTTTTGTCACAAGTGTTACTACCTTCATAAATGAGACATAATCAAACCTCAAATATACTTATGCTAAACTAAATATTTTATTCTAGATACTAATCTTTCTTATATTTTTTTGTTATCTATTGGCAATGAAGTTTGTCAAATATCAAATTTAACAAAAACTCTCTATATTTGAGATTGGATTTTGTAGTGAAAGATTGCTAATCCAAGTCTATCTCTATTACAACCTCAAGTTGGATTGTTACCTCCATCTATAGCTAGAAATATTATTGACATGTATATTTATTCTAATATTTGCTTATATGATTAAATAGAAGTAGATAAAAGTAGATTTATTTCATAATATTTTCTAAAGAAGCTTTCTTGAAGCTGCATAGATATTATTTTGACTTTATATTTGTTTGTAGTTGATTGGTAGATTAGAAACTTGATCAACAAGTTAACCACATGTTGGTAGCTTGTAAAAAAGGTGAACTATATGGCATACATGTAGAAAACTTATCTTGTAAGTTAAAATATGTGTCTTGCAAAGTCAATATGTTTTGAAGGTCTTATAAGCCATTGCCACATAACTCCTAGTTAAGAGTATATATGGAGACAAAAGTGAATCCTTCTTCATTCTTGTCAATGCCTTTCTAATTCTTAGTCTTGTTTCAAGACTTTTTAGTCTTTTTATCTTTAGCAATAGTCATTCTAATTTAATATCATATCATCTTCGAGTGATTTTCTTATCTTTTGAATGACACAAGAGTGTATTGAAGTTTTCTTTCTTTGAGATTCATGTCTTTGATAAGAAATCAAAAAGCCAACGAAGCATAAACATTAGATTATTACTTCATGTATAAGACTTACGAAACCACATCTTGCATACAACAACATATATGTGCTTATTGCTTGGTAGAATAATATAAGTCTTAGATATAGAATTAAGGATTTGAATTGAATCTAGCAAGGTGCATATCCTACAATTTGCATAGTTGATTTTTTTTTATTTGTTTTGATTTGTGATTTGTATTAGAATTGTTGAAATTTATGAATTAATAGAAGTCGTTAATTAAGTTTGAAGGTTACTAGAATATATGATTTATTGTAATGTTTTTTATAGACATTAGATATTGCAAGCATGTTGTTAAATTCAATTGTGTCCATTGGTTATGTTGCAAATCAAGTATTGACCATACAAAGTTAAATCAAAGCTGAAATTTGATCTAATTCATAACAGATGAATGTAAGTGGTGTATCTAGTAAGATAAATTTATATAAAAAGCAAAGCTTACAACTAATCTTGGATATAACAAGGAAAAGAATTCATAGAAACTATGCTTTGATGTGTCACACACTAGCTTTTTGCCATGCTAGTGAGTCCACGACAATCTAAGAAAAAAAATACTTGCTTGCAATGCTTAATGCACCAAAGTACATAGTTACAAGAATAAAGAAGTTATTTGGTTCTTTGATTATCAATCATTGGCATAGTTGGTGGTGCATAATTTGCAAATGTATTTGTACAATATTTTTTTTTCCAATCATTTCTTGTGTTGATTTTATTTAGTGACGAAGCAGCTACATAAAGTTTGGAGTAATAGACTATCTTCCACCTTGTCCCAAGAAGAAGTCCACTCACTCTAAACCTAGTCACATAGTTAGTCATAGCTTTAATAAAATATCCAAAGATAAGTATTCTTGCTTATTGTCTATTTTTTTTTATGATTATAACCTTGATGGAATTTTTCCATGATTGTAACCATAATAAAAATAGACTAACCATTTTGTCATTGGTTGCACATCCAACATCAAAAAACTAAATTTGGTGATGATCTGGTATTTGATGATGGCTAGGATGGGTGGATCAATTTAACAATCGTTTACTTACTTCCTTACATACTTATTTATTTATTTATTGTTTTTAGTCTTAAGAACATTAGCCATCCTAGTTTAAAGATTAGCCTTTATAGGTTTGACTTCCTAATGGTTGACTTTCTGAATGGGCGGTGCTAAGATGGATGACCGCTTTCATCCACCCAAGCTTCATCCTCCTGCTCCCGTGCAATCGAGCGAATATATAGAGAGAAAGAAAACAAAATAAAATAAAATAAATCCTCCCTCATGGCCGTGCGGTGCAGGCTCGACGACAGCTACGGCGAAGTCAGATCGAAAGGAATTTCAAGGGGTGACCCCCAAATCCAAAGACGCCCAGGGGCGCCTGATAAAGAAGAGAGAGTGTATGATTTTGTCCGCACAAATGGAGAGATGTGGTGTTGTGTGCGAAGAATCGATTTGTCTTTCGACATGAAGTCCGTTCTTTGGCAGAATCTAGGCGCCGAAATTTCGGAAATTTCTGGCACGATCGAATGATCGTGGAGCCCAGTGAACACAACGCGGCGTCGGTCCTTGTCGTCGTCGTCGTCACCCGCTGAGCAATGTCATGTGCTGCCGATTGCCAAGGTCGTCGAGATTTGCAGTTCCACCGTCCATACTCAAGTTGTATTGTACACCTAGTACGAGTACGTTGTACATACGAGCTGAACTGGGTCACCTAAAGGCTTAGGCATGAACTTTTCGTGTTACAGTTAAGATTCTGGAAAGATAAATGCGAGATGTAGGAAGTATGATTCATGCTTGTCTCCGTAGCGTCTTTTCTTATTTCTAGAGGAATAAAGAACAATTGCCTTTTGAACAGGTCGTGGGTTTTGGTTGCAAGGCAGTACGGGGGGGGCTTCTTTTTTTGGCTTTTGCTTTGGTTTGACCGATAGTGGTTGCAACCGAACTTCAATATCCATCAGCTTTTTTTTCCCCTTACCTGAACCAACAACCGCACACAGTTTGCTTCTGAAAAATACTGTGCCATTGCTTACAAAGTCGCAATAACGTTCTTTCGCTGGTCTGTTCCAGTAATCTCACATGTTGGTCATGGAGACCACAAAGATACATTTTGTACACTGGTCCTGGTTACTAGCGTTTGTGCTCTTCCATGGGCCATTATGCTAAACCCCCACGTTTGAAGTCGTGGTATGAAACATGTGAAAATCAGAGTGTTGATATCTTCACATATTGCTTATTATAAGTTGTTAATCTCTTAACAAACAATGCTTCATGTTAAATAAAGAAATCCTGTCCCAATCCACATTTTGGCCTCTGTTGTTCGCGTACAGATTTATGCTTCCCTGTCTCCATCAACTAGCCCACTCCAAGGTCCATCCTCATTATCAAAACAAAATAACAAGCTACAGAAATCTCCCTCTACTTAGAGTGGGTCCAAAAGCGTACCAGTAAACAGTGTCAATAATGAGAAGTGGAACTGGTCCAAGCCGCCGATGACAACAAGTCTAAATTTAATTCCAAGTCAATCTCAGCCTGCGTTGATTAAGTGGCATCTGCACCTGCACTGGGAGGTTCTACCAAACTTCCTCTTAACCTCACCATATTTCGGAGAATCCTGAATTCCATTAGGGGACCGCCTACAGCGATTACTGGACGGTTATCAGCTACTCTTCAGATGCTATAGTAACATGGAGAAGGACGGACGCAAGAGAAAGTGGCACAGAAGCTGCAAAGGTTCTTGGGATTCAGGCTCCAGAGAGGCACAGGACTGGGCTTCTGTGGCGTGAGAGGCCGTTGATAGTGGAATACTCTTTCAGGGCTGGAGTCGTCACAAGTTTGGCCTGTTGTACGCTGGAAGCACGTCATGCTGGTGTCCACCTAGAGTGGACCAGTCAAGGCTTGTTGTTGCATTGACGTAACTTGATTGGCCGCAAGAGGTTCTTTCGGTATCGCGTGTGTTCGTTAGCATTTCGTGGCTACTTGATAATATGTAGATGAAAGAATGGAACTGCTCAAGGAAGTTTTGGTTGCTGTCGCCGTGTGCCAACAGGAAAGCTGTGAAGAAGGTTGGGAAAGTGGCCTCAAATGTTTTGATTTCTCCTGATTAAATGCTGGAGGAAACACAAGTCTTGTTTGCGACTCTGTGATGATCATTCTAGCTTGATTATTCTTGTTTCAATTTCGTTCAGCCAAGCTCGCACGATTGCACGCGGTTTGCTCATCTTTGCGACAATATTGATTTCAATCAGCTTTTGCAAATGCTTTATGCATTCCGGCAAGAATGAAGGCTCATGAAGGATCTTGCACTGTATTGGAGCTAGTTGGGGACAACCTTAAGGCCGTAGCAACTCTTTGTGTGCACTTGAAAGGATGCACACAATAGATTGTATGCCGCCTTACCGAGCAAATGCTAGTTTCCAAGTGGGAGCAATCATTGCGTGACACATTGACAATTAGAGTTCGGAGCGAACTGCAGTGGCTCGTAGCCAATGATGTCGAATCTCGGATTTGGGATTCCAGGGAGCGTGCAGCAATTAAAGTATGCAGTAGTCATTGGAGGATCACTGCCTCAAACCTACAGAATCCGCTCTTCTGTAAGAAGCAGTGTGAGTTTTGCAGGAATTTTGTTTGTGTATCTTGTTTGCTTAGCATTCCAACCGCAACCAGTGCAAAGCTACAGTGAGTACACACGAGTAAGAAGACTAGGAGGGTCATATCTCAAGCTCTTCCCAATTGCATCTGGAGACAGCGGTAGCGAATGGAAGTTTGGTAAGCTTTCAACACCTCCTTGTCTGTTGAATTGAATGCAGTAACTGAAAACTCTCTCAATTCTGAATTGTCCGGGATTGTGAAATGAACAAGTCCGGCAGTCGATTTGCAAGATTCTTTCAAAACATCTAGGATCATTGAATTAATTACAGGCGATGATGTCGCTTTACTTCGTAGAATGTAGGACGCACATCGATTTTAGTTTAGGTTTGGAACAGCTGTTAGACATTGTCTTGTACCGCTGGGGGTAGTTGAGCGGTTGATATTTGGCGACACTTAGCCCCTGATCGATTCAATGCAGTCCGCGGAAGATCATTATTGGCGACAAACACCTCAACAGAGAAATTCAGGCCGCTGGCACCAAGAGACGACAGACTGAACCCGTTTGATAGTTTCAACCATTATCGTGCCGGGTACGACATCAAGAGTAAGAATTACTGGGGAGTGAGTAACGTACAATCATGCCACCCTCACCCTGATTTCGTGGGCAAATCTCTGGAGTGCAATACTTGCTTTTGAACATCGTCTTTTCCACGCAAAAATTATTAAGGTCGGAGGCCATTTGAATGCATCACATTCCATGTTGATTCTTTCGTGAACTAGTCAGTCGCTGGATTACTCACTAGAGCGGTGCGATGTGGCGTATGGCAGTCTGTAGTGTTTACAGGAATCTATGGGTACGCAATTGCTGCCGCTTGGCTGGTGCTAGGGCTGGTCGTCCTTCTTGTGCTTTGCTGCCGATGTCTCTGCCGACGGTCATCCAAGGCTTCGAAGCGGCCACGCACAATAGCTTACCACTGTGTGCCCTGGACAATAATTTTCCTCCTTTCTGCGGCTACTGTGTAAGTATTGACACATTTCAAACTGTATAGTTGATTGCTGATTCATTCCCAAACCCTAAATTTCACGCACATTGTCTGGACGGAGTTGATTGATAATTTTCCACGGCCGCCGTGGGTAATTGCAGTGGCAGCAGCGTGGTGCTGTTCATAGCGTGCAAGAATTTCACCTCGCAGGCATACAATGTGGAGGACGTGATTGTAGACGCAGCTCAAAATGCAACGAATGCGGTTTACACCGTCTCCGACACACTTAACGAAGTGAAGGGCAATGTGTTGCCTTACAATCGTCAGTTGTATCGCACATTGAACTCGACGGAGAGCCAGCTTGTCAGTATCGCCGATCTCGTGAACGAAAAAGTTTTCGTCAACAAAAAGACGTATCAGAAGGTCTTCAAAATTGTGTGAGCACCCAGCACTTGAATGTGTGTAGAATCTTTGTTCCTATGCTGCAGTGGTGCTTCACAAATTTCATTCAGTTTCGTGTGATAGCTTAGCTCTAACTCTGCTAACTATTTTGTGATGGCGTTATGCAGAGAAATAGTGTTACTTGTTGTGACTTCGTTGAGTCTGCTGTTAATCATTCTTGGGTTGGGTATGCTGCTTATTACCCTTCTCTTCTTTTACGCTGAGTACATTTTAACTTAACAATTAGAAAACTGGTTGCAAATGAATTACAAAAATCACATGGATGAATATCTGGGGTATCTCATAAGATTGAGATTCAGACGCTTAACTAAAATTCTACTAATGTTTGGCGCCTTGAGGGAACAGTGTCAACGTTTCTAAGGTGGAGGCGCTTCTTCTACTTCATCATCGTGGTTACGTGGATGTTCACTGCTTTGACGTGGGTCATGTTTGGGTTTTTCCTGACAGTTCATAAGTAAGTTGACTACCTTTTTTGTTCAGTGAAGACCTTGCTAAGATTTAATTCTTATATCTCCAAGATGTTGCATATGAGACATTTGAAGTTTTGAGAGCATGAAGATCTTGACAAATATGGTGTCTTGAATACGATCGGACTTGAGCCATGTTAGAATTTGCGGGTTAACAACGAGTTTTTTTGCACGGATGCCAGTATTGCAGATGACACTTGCTTAGCTTTCAAGCAGTATCTTGAAAACCCCCAGAACACAACTCTTGATGACTTGCTGCCGTGCTCGGATTTGGCTTCATCTGATACGCAATACACGGAAATTCGGGAGGCGTTAAAGAACGTAATTTCGGATGCAACAGATCAATTTCTATTCTACGCCAATGGATCCACTGATCTGACAGGAGTTTGTGATCCAATTGGTCCACCTCCAGAGTACAAATACACTGGCATTTGTGCTAATGATACGCTTCCAATTAGCGAACTATCCAATGTAGGTGTAATAGATTTTCACTCAATTTTCTTCTGCTTTTGTGAGGACTTCTGCTTAGGTACTGGTAGGAATGATTCGGCTTTCAGAACCTGACATCTCCTAGATGTATCTCGTGGTTTGCAGCTTGTCAAGCCTTTTGTGTGCAATGGCACTCGAAAAGAATGCTTAAAGATATACCCATTTTATGCTAACCAAACTACTTACAACGGAATCGCTGCAATGACTAAAGGTATTAATTTCTAGCCTCATTTACCTCTTTGCCGATGCCCCTTTTGACATTTATTATCTGAGGTGAATACTTGGGGCATAGGCTTTTTAACAATGCATTGTTGACTCTTTGCTTGCAGCTTCGCAAAGCATTTTGGATGCCTTTCCGCTTATGGAGGGGCTTACCAACTGCTCCCTTTTGCTAAACCCAATCAAGACCATGGTGAATGTACGGTGTGGCCCTGCAAAGGTTGCCATCAACCGCATATGGGATGCATTTGCAGTATTGTCTTCCATTCTAGTCCTGCTCATCATCTTTTGGTGCTTGGTCAATCGCCGGTACAACGAGCAACGCCAACTTACCAGCATTGTACCTCACCAATCACCACCACGACCACCCTACAAGCTCCGGCACTGAAGTGAAACATGCTAGTTTCTGAGGAATGCTAACAAGCTAAAATCACGGTGTGATCCCATGCGCAACTCTCTCTTTCTCTCTCTCGCTCGCTTACCTTCTTCGTCTTACTGTGTAATCTAACTCACATGGCCTGCTACAATGTAAGATGAAGAAAGATCACCCAAACTAGAGGAGTGGCCCAAAGAGTGCTACTCCCTACAAGTGTTTTGGAGGTGAATGTTCTTCTAACATGGAGTATGCTTGGAGGTGCAGCCTGGCTAGTTAGTCCATAGGAATAGTTAGCATTCCTCTGGATAAGTACATTGTACCATGAGACTCTTTTCTTTCTCTTTCTTTCTTCTTCAAGGGATTGCTGATTCCCTACGATTTTGGGGTCTGTGGACCTTTTCAAATGTTGTACATTTAAAAAGAGAGGCAAATTGACCAAGTTTTCCAACATGGTAAGCTGAGTTGTGTGAGTTTTCCCTAGCGGTATATGGAGCAGATATCATCAAATTCGCCTTCTGGCAAAATATAATATACAAATGTCATTTTAGGAGTTCCTTTATTGACTTTGTACTCCATGGTAATCTATCACTGGATCTTGCCTCACAATGTGCTGACTAACTGGACGATGTGCTGTTGAAGAGGACCAGACCTTTTGGAATCTGCCATCTGCAACTGCTACTGAAACAAACTCATTCAACACCTACTCTTTAACATCATGCAAACTTAGTAAGGAGTGGTGTTTGTGAAAAACAATGTTTGTGCCTTTGGGGACACATGTTCACAACCCATTGTTGGAAACCACTTAAACTATCAAATTTTTGGCTAGTAATTGCATATCACTTAAGATGCAGAGGGTCTGAAGTTATTCCTGTAAAAATATAAATAAATAAATAATGCAGAATAACTTGCAAACATCAAGCATGCTGTCCCTAATTGGATGATATCGGCAGTAAGAATTAGGCACATGAAATATGTTTCAACAATTCATATTGATTTCTGTAAAAACGTGTAAGTTATCCAAATTTCTTGTGAAAGTCAACTTAGAGTTTCTAGGATTATGTTATGTATTAAAATACATGCATAGATATGTGTAATAATAAATATCACAAATTGAAGTTTTTGGTTCGACAGTTTAATATTTATGGTATATACATGTATATATATTACTGTAATTAAGATCTATAACCATTACAAAGAAAAAATCAAAATATATAAACTAATGAAAACAAATCAGTACTAAAAGTAAATTTTATTTTGTCTAATCCACATGTATGGGCGAATGTATGTGAATACATATATATATATATATATACGATTGTGTGTATGTATTTAATGCAATTGTATGATATTTATTTACAAATTTTAATCTAATGTGTATGTTAAAGAACTTAACTCTGCTATAAATCTATAAATAGAATTTGCATTCAACTCAATGAACAAAACATACAACAATTTTTTATAATAGTGTAAGTCAATTTTTAAAATCTTTCCAAGACTTACTATAAAATAATAATAATTTATATACATGTAAGTATTATTTCATCCAATGTAAATTTCATATTTTAAAAAATATTAATAATTACTAATTTAAATATTAAATATGAGTAATCAAAATGAATAAAACTTGATTTAAAAGCTACCAAAATACATACATATATTTATATATATATATATATATATATGTATATGTATATATATATTTAAATCTATAGCTTGATAAATAAAAAAAAATACAAATCTTTATGATTATAGTATTCAAAGTAAATATGAGTTTATTTAATTATTTAAAGATATTATGTTTGATTGATTCTAATAATTTTTAACTTGTTCACCAAGTTTCTAACCTATCAATCAACTATAAATACATGTAAAGTAAAAGCAGCACCTATAAAGTTTCTACAAAGCTTTCCTAAAAGATATTATGAAATTAATCTAGTTTTATCTACTTCTATATATTCATATCACCTAGATAACAATCATAATAAATATATGTCTATGACATTATGTTCGTTCTAGGGGCGAATTCTATGAGGATCGATAATCACATACCAAAGAAGTTTAAGATGTGGCAAATTATATTTGTCATGTATTTTAATCTTTATACCATTTGAAGGTAGTTGATAGGTCTTCTCACCCATTAATAATATCTCATTTTAAGGTAGGAAGACCACTTTATTATTTGATCATTTTTGAGACCTTCATAACTCCCTTCAAACAAAACATATATAATACCATCAAGAGTTATTCCTACCTCCAATAAAATCATCAAACATTGAGATTTTTTTTTCTAGGTCATGTAATTAAATGCATTGTATGTTGTCATGTATTTGAAAAAATACATGTTGCTCTTAAAGACTATGATAATTGCAATGTCTTGTCTAGTAAATCAGCAAATAATGGCTATTTAGTTGAATGTGTTGGTTGTTGATTCTCCATTTCCTCAACGTAACAATTACATAGAAATTACATAGAAAGATAGATAGTAGAATACAAACTTTTCTAAATTATGTTTCTTTTATAGAAAAGGTTTGTTATCCTTTATCTTAGTTTTGATAGATATTGTTGATGAAAAGCTTTGACCTTCTTTGCTACATTTGTAAGATTTTTTGCTTACTCTTATATATGTTTGCTAATATTCTATTTGTGCTATTGAATAAAATATTCCAACCTAAGTTGGTGCCGACTCAAGTCTAAGACTTCTTCTACATCAAATTCTTGATTATTATCTACTTCTATAGGAGGCAATAGTATTTGCTTTTTTCTTAAGATATTCACTATCTTATATGGCTCCAAAAAAAAATATGTGAAATATAAGATGGATTTTCATAGACTCTAGTAGATGTAATTAATAAGTGATTAGATTGACTTATTTATAAATAGAAAATAATCCAAGTCTATGATAATTCAACTTGTCACAAAGACGAATAGTTTTAATATTATGACAAAGCAATCATATTTTATCAACAATGTAAAAATGAAGTTGTTATTTAAGATAGGCATCCATGTTGTTCTTTTATTCTTCTTGAGTCTCTTTTAATTGTCCCTTCATTGTTATATATAGTTCAAATAAATGGTTACTAAATCTTTTATTATAAGATTATTAATTTTTAAAAAGTCAAAAGTATCAAATCATGGATGATAATCATAATTAGCAAAGAAAGGTGTTTGTTATGTAGAAGAATATATTGTGTTATTATAAGCAAATTCTACTAAAAGCAAAAGAGTTTTCTAATCATTTTATTGATAGTTGATGGTATATCTTATATACTGCTCCAAAACTTGATTTACATGCTTTGTTTGTCCATTAGTTTGAAGATAAAAAGCTAAAGATAGTTTTATATCTATCTTTAAAATCTTAAAAATTATTATTCAAAAGCTTAATACAAATTGAGTATTCATATCTGATATAAAATCCTTAAGTAATTCATGATAGCAATTAATGTTGTCAAAAAAAAAAACTTGATTGTTTTTTTACTTGTGATAGATTTTATATATGGTACAAAATATGTCATCTTAGTGAAATGACCTATTATCACAAATATAGAGTCAAAAAAACCTAAGACTAGAAGATCTATGATAAAATGTATAGAAACAAAAGCCTATGGTTGTTTTGGAATGGATAATGGCTAAAGAAGTTCATAACGTCAATAACAAGGAATTTTTGATCTTGAAGAAATATCACAAGATTGTACAAAATCTTTAAGTGACTTCTTCATTTGGGGCCATCAAAAATATTTAGATATTACTTTCAAAGTCTTATTGTATCTAAAATGTCTTGCTATTAAAAAGCCATGATAAGTTTGAAGAATACATAATTAAGCTTCACCTTTTAAAATATAATAGATTATTCTTAAATTATAGTAGATTTTTTTTGAATTCAAATTTGAAAGTATTATAAGACTTTGAAGAATTTTACTTAATATCATGAATAAGAGGATCAAAAGACATACTTTATTGAACTTGCTTAATAAAATTTGAATCAACAATTAGTATTGATTTTATTACTCAAAGATAATGTTACTTTGGCTTTAAAAAAATTATCTATTATTAATCAAAAGCATCATTTTTTTCCTTTGCTATAAGATAGGATTGTATAGAGAGTGTATTTGACAAATTTTTATTCAATTAGTGAGACACATTAGGAGGTTTTCATACTAGATGAAATAGTTCCCATGTATGTTGTGAACATGAAACCATAATACATGGGAACTATTTCATCTAGTATAAAAACCTACTAATGTGTCTCACTAATTGAATATAAATAATTAAATCTGAGGCAAGGCTTTAAGATTTATGGTCAATGTAATCAATATCCAGTGCAAGGACACTTTTGTCATGACACAAATGATTTGAAATGATATTATGACTGCCATAATTACAGAATTAAAATAAATATTACACCACTTGATTTTTTTGTGAAATAATAAATATATATTTGCTTCATGCCATTTCTTATGCACCAATTGTGTTTATTTTATTTTATTTGTTTCTTCTCTTAGATTTGTGACCGCAGAATGTCTCTTTATGTTGACATTGTTTTACACAAGTTGTTGGCATCTCAAATAGTGGTATCAAAGTATAGGAATGTACGAGAAGGTATATTTTTAGAAGAAGCACATAACCCGATACTTGTTCAGTAGGTAGAATCTTAAATAAGGCCCTCTTTGATGCTCTAAAGTTTTTCTAAAAGAAATAACCTAAAAATAGTAGGCACGTAAAATATAGAGTAAGGATGTTCTATAAGATATCTTTAACATTTATTAATTTCTAAATAGTGAATAAAAAAATTAAAGATTCTTCAAAGAATTAACTTCTTCCTTTCTATAAAGCAAGTTATATTTTAAATTTGTGTAAGAAACTACTAGATTAGAACCCCCCCTTTTATTGCATAGACATTCCTTGTGGCATGCACCTCTATAAAAAAATAACTAGTTTTGATTTTACATATTTTTTATATTATTAATTTGACATTGATGAATATATTAAGGTGTCCTTATGAATATATTAAGGACCCCTTAATATATTGGTCCACAATTTCTTAGCAATTGTGAATTTAAGTTTCGGGCCCATCGTTCGTACATACATACATACATACCCTGTATACGTGTGTACAAAGGACTCACCGATCGTTTGACATTCATAAACTAGGACCGTGTGGGTCACGGTCTTAGGCCAGCGTCGCAGTGACCGTGGCCACCTGCCCTTGAGAGAGAGCGAGAGCCCTACCCCTGCACTTCCCATGTCGCTCGCGCCTTTCTTCGTGTCCTCGGAGGCTCTTGTTCGATCGACTGTTACAGGCCCCTTCTTCACACATCCCCGACGCTACCCCGCCGCTGTTCATTTTTGTATTTAACCTTCTGTTTTTCTTTCGATCTGTCGCTTTGATTTCGCGTATGCTGTATGTTGAATATTTTTTTGTACTTAAGTTTTTGTCTTGTTTCTGGCGAGGTTTTAGGGTTCGTAATTTTGAATACTTGCTGTTAGTTCTGGAGGGAGCTAATCCAGTGCGGATGTATCTTCGGTGTGAGTAGTGGTCTAGCACCCAGCGATTGATTACTGAAAGCTTGCGTTGAGCCGTCTCGGGGTAGGTTATTATTGGCTGTAGTGTCTTGTCGCTGTGTCTGTTCTTTGCATTGAGGGACAGGGTTTTAAACGCCATAAAATCAGCGTTCGACAGTGATAGCACGAATATCTTCTGTGAGTGTTGGTTTCGATTTCTGAATACCCATTTGGATCCCTAGGTTTTTTTTTCTATTTGGTGCATGCTGTTGGTTTATGGTAGCATGCGAGTACTGCATGTGTGAATTCATGAGGTATTTATGTGTTGGAGGATGGAATGTGATTCATGGAATATTTGTTGCGAATCTGTAATTTTTTTGCAGGGTTTCACTCGTAGCATGGTATGCCACTTCGGGAGTGCCTGAGTCGTCCTTGTGCACAATTCGTAGGCGGAGTCGGGTTCTAAGTTTGTGCTATTGTATCAGGTGGAGTGAAGGTACAATGTCGTACAACAATGTGGTCGGGGGGAAGCTGAAACTTAAAGGGAAGGCCTTAGATGTTAAAGCTGGGGGGATGAAGAAGAAAAAGAAGAGGCGAGATACGCAGGAGCAGCTTCGATTGCTTACAGGTCGGGAAGTAACTGAACGGGAAGAGAACCACTCTCCCACACGCTCATCTGAAGCAGACCCCACTTCTCAAGGAGGGGATGAAGATGAAGCGGAAGAACGAAGTGAAAGGCAACAAGCTCCAGCGGAGGACCACAGAACGCCTGCAGAGAAAAGATATCACGAACAGAAGGCCAAACTGGAAGCCCGACGTCTGACGAAAGTGGCCACGAAGAGTCACCGACAGAGAGTAGAAGAATTTAATCAATATTTAGCCAATCTTAGTGAGCATTATGACATACCTAAGGTCGGTCCTGGGTAAGGTTGCAAGATGTCGTGTTCTCAGTCTCGATTGGAAGTTGGTGTTGGCGTTTATGCTCAAGGTTGGCAATCTGTGAACAATTTCTCACGTAATTTTGTATCATTTTAGTGTACGTTTGGATTTGGATTTACACTTTGTAATGAAATGAATAGTCATACGTATTGAAATGGTGCATTTGGCATCCTATGGTTCAGTAACTTTTAATGATGACATTATTAATCTAAATTATTTTGAGGCTTCTATATGTGGAGTGCAGGAGTATTTTCTGCGTGAGTGTTTGTGCTTTTAGAAGTCTCATCTATGTTTCTTGAGTAATTGAGTTGTTCGACGACCCCAAAGTTTGTGGCCAAGACCGAATCGTGTTGATGCTAGTTAACTGATCAATGTGTTGTAGCAAATTATACTGCTCAGTGTTGTGATCAAGAGTTTCAGACTGGCGCAAGAATATCATAGTGGTACCGCTGATGATGAATACGGCCAAGGTGGGTGCTGATTTTTTATCCTTGGCTGAAAGTACTCGCCTTTACCCCACCGTCACGTAAACCTAACTCCCCAAAATTGCACGTCGTCTGCACGAATGCAATGACACAAAAACCTCAACCCCTGAGAATGACCCTGAAAAAAAAAAAAAAAAAAAAAAAAAAAATGATTAGAGCTCATAAGCGCTATTTCTCCTGAAACTCTCCACACAATACAACGCGTGTTGCAGTTAAGCTCCCATTGATATGATACAAGAACTTAGAATTACTGTCGGCGAGCTACACTCTCAAAACAGAACACGGCACAAATGGGGGACCTAACACGACGACACTGATACTACACAATTCGAATACGAAAATAGCCTCAATGTCCCTCAAAAAACAGAAACTTGTGAGACACCCTTATTTATTAATATTTTTGTAAGACACCCTTTCCAAGGCCCTTCCGGAGCACTTTGAAACAGTTAGTGAGAGAGAGAGAGGCATGAGGCTTCGCAACCTGGAAGTGCTGTGAAACCCTAACTACACTTTCCTTGCATACTATCATTGGAATTTGAAGGAAGAACTGAGACCTTGCTTTGTTTTCTTCACATTCACATTCATATTTTTCATGTTTAAAACTCATATCCAGGATGCTATTGATTGGATCCTGGCACATTTCATTGCTATGGCGGCATTCTAGCCTGATTGTGCCTGGATGTTGTTACATCCTTGGTAATATCTTGCCATCCTTGAAAACAATATAGCTTAAACCAATATTTCAATGATAAATTGGTGTATAAGAATAGTGAATTTGTATTAGAAAGAGATTGAATATGTTCCACTTAAATCTTATATTTTTATTTTTTTAAATGAATAATTAAATACATATTGATTATTGTAGTAATTAATAAAGACATTAATTCCATTCAATAAATGAAAAAATATATAATTATTTCTACTTTAGAAAATATTTTGATAAAAAAAAAGATAAATAGAATTCTTAAAATATATCCAAAATTTGTGGTGTGTGTTTGTATATATAGGTAGATATACTTTATTTTTAAATAATTATTTTTTTATTCAATAAATATTTGAATTGACACAATATTATTTCAAATGTTATCTAAATAAAAAAAATAATATTTTTAGCTATGATGAATAAAGGTGTCTTATAATAAATTTATTACATATATTTTTTAAAAATTAAAAATTAAAAATATATCTAATAAAAATATTATTATTAAATTATATTTTTTTTATTACACATTTAAATTTAAGATATTGTTGACATCATTACACAAAAATTCAATGTATCATGGACATATATTTATTGTAATTGCTACCTAGGTGATATGAATAGCTAGAAGTAAGTAAAAGTAGATTACTTTCATAATATCTTCTAGAAAAGCTTCTTAGAAACTTTACATGTGTTTGTAGTTGATTGGTAGGTTAGAAATTTGGTCAACAAGTTAACCACATGCCATACATATTGTCCATATAAAAAACTTGCCTTGCAAATTAAGATACGTTGTCGTAATACGTGGCATTGGCTTGAAAATGCATTCGGCACCTGATTGTGGAAGATAAAAAGAAAATTGCAACAACAAGTCCTAACAACTCTAATAGATTCTTAAACAAATTACAATTAAAGATTAGCAAGTATAATCAAACATTAATCAAATTTAATCAAAATTACACAAGAATTATGTAAAAAATACAAAGTAATCCTAAAGATCATTTAGAGAAATTATAAAGAAATAACATAGGAATTCAAAAATATACTAAAATAGAAATCTTAATAAAATATTAAAATATAAACCTTAATTAAATCCTAACTAAATCTTAAATAAATCTTAATCAAATCCTAACCAAACTCTAATCAAACCTTAATCAAATCCTAATCAAATCCTAATCAAATCTTAATCAAATCCTAACCAAATCCTAATCAAATCCTAACTAAATCCTAATCAAATTCTAATTAAATTCTAATCAAATCCTAATCAAAATCTAATCAAATCCTAATCAAATCCTAATCAAATCCTAACCAAATCTTAATCAATCATAAATAAATCCTAGTCAAATCTTAGTCAAATCCTAAACAAATCTAAATAAACTTTAACTAAACCCTAATCAAATCCTAAACATATCCTAATCAAACCCTAAATAATCTAAGTAATTCCTGTAGCACTTTAAAACCTCAATAACTAATAAATGAACTATTGATTTTAACTCAAATTTTGCACACCTCTTCACAATTAAGTTGACTACAAGCACAAATGTTTTGAAGAAGATCAATCCTAATATTTGCTCGGATATTAGCAGGGCCTCCTTCTTCAATCTAAATGTTGAATTTCTAGTATCAATATCTCCTTATCAAATCATTCGATTGATCTCAAATTTCTCACATACGTAGAAAAATAAGTCTAATATCCACACACATAATTTTTATTTCAATCCAACTAATAGATAGCATAAAATCTTAGAAACCTTCACTGGACCTAAAACTCTACTTCACAAGATCTTAACCCACTTAAACTTCAATAATCCTTGATCCAACCTTTCGATCAACTTCAAACTCACAACATATATTGGATACATATATATCCACAAACCTTCAAAATTTCACTTACTGATCTATTGCCAAATTTACAAAATTCTCCAAAAATTATCACCTACTTTATTCTACAAATCTAGAGTCACCCAAAACAAATCCCGACTTTGCAAAGCTCTTAAAAAATCAATACATACTCAAATTACATCAAATCAACTCTCAAAGAAATCATATCAAGTCAGCTTTGAGATCCTATCCTCTGATTTTCAAAAGAATCCTTGAATTATCGTCAGAACTCAGTTTTATGCATTGGGATCTATTTTCAATCCATGTTTATAACCAACCTTCTTTGGATATTAATATCTAATTTTTCTATATAATTTTTGCTAAAATTTATTTTTAATTTCTTTTTAAAGATGTCTAAATCATTTATTTTTCCAATCTACCTTATTTTGTCTTACTTATGGCCCTACAAAGGAAGTAGAAGCCATTTTTTTAAAAAAAACAGCATTACTATTAAAAGTTTTATGACCTTCCTATCTTTTATCCATATTTTTCTACTTTATCTTTTAACTTGATTCTTCTATAATAAGATCCATATTATTATCTTTCACCATATAGTTGTATTACAACATGACAATGTGTTGTATAAAGTCAACATGTTTTAAAGGTCCTATAGAATGTTACCACATAGCTCTTAAGTAGATAGTATATATAGAAGCAAGAATAAATCTTTTTTTACTCTTGTCTACTCTTTTTTGCTTTTATTCTAGTTTAAAGAATCTATAGTTTTTTTGTTTATTGAGAATAGCCATCCCAGTTTCTTTTTAATATATATACTTCATTATTTCTATTTTATTGTACTTCTTTGAAAATAATTCACTTGTTTATTTCTTTTCTTTAAATTCTTGTCCTTGACATATTGATTAGAATATGCTTACAATATCATAGCTTTGTCTTATCTTCATTAAGAGTAATTTTTTTTTTCTTAATAAAGCATAAATGTAATACAAGTTATAGATTATCCTCATCTAAATTAGTATTATTTTTAGTATTATTTTTATTCTCAAGTTCTTTCTTTTTCTTATCTTTAATAATATTAAACATCTCTTTTCTTCTAAGTGTTATTATAGTAGAGTTTGTCAAAATCAAAAGTGTAATAGCACAAATGCAAGAACAATTGAGAAAATTAATGCTTGTAATGCATCAACTCAATTTACTATCACAAAGAAGAACAAGAATGATAGAAAGTGGAAATATAGAGATGATTAGAGCTGCTTCAAGATTTGTACTAAATTATATCCGTTTACATATAATAGAATATCATTCAAGTACTAAAGAACTAAGAATTGTCTTACTTGAAAAGTTTGATGCTACAATATTAAAGTTTCAAGGATTCATCAATCAAGTACAACTTGAATAACTTTGAAATTTCAAAGTTATTCAACTCTAGAATCACAAGTCATGCTTATTAAAACACTACTTTTTGATTCTATATTATTATGATTTTTATCTTTTTTTGAATAAAATGATCTAATATTAGATAATTTAAAAGTTTTTTTTGCAAAATTTTGATCTTTGTATAGAAGACATGATGCAGTTTATATTGCAATAAATAAGATCTACATTATATGACAAAAAATCAATTTATAAAATTGTATGCTTTACATTTTAGACAACTTGTGATTGATATTAAATGGAATGATGTTTCATTGATTAGCTAATTTTTTTATAGATTATAATATGAAATAAAGAAATAGATGTTTAGTTTACTTGATCCTCAAACATTAAGTCAAGCAATTGATATTGTTGTAAAGTTTGAAAATTGACTTTTTGAATTTTGGTCTAAGAATTACATAAGCAAGCTTCAATGTTATTATAATTCAATGGCAATATCAAAATCTTCTCAATACATACCTTTGAAAGTAGAAGATATATAAATTAATGTAGTACATTTGAAACCTCTTATTGAGCAAAAAAAGACTCATCATTGTCAAAAAAGATTGTATTTATATTACAGAGAATGAAAGTATATTGCTCAATATTATCCAAAGAAGCAATGCAATAATAAAATAAAAAGTACAATTGTTAAAGAGGACAATATGTTGAAAAATAAATTTGTCCAGCTACATTAGAAATCATGTAGTTGGAATCTTGTACAATAACTAATAAAGGTCTTATTCTCTCATCAAAATCCTTTCTTTGTTTTATAATAAATGTTAGTTTAGGA